GATGATTTTAGATAACTGAAACATAAGTGGTGTGTTCCAACATATAATCTTCCTGCTCCAAACACTGAGTTGAGAGCACACTTAAACTCATGGCTAAATTGTTCAGAAACTTTAAATTTTCTATTAATCTTATTAATTTTCTTGTCGTCTAAGTATTTCACATCTTCTGATATGGTTGGTGCCTTCATATTTTGCGTTTATTTTCTTTTTACTTTCTTCATTTTTATCCTTTTTGTTTCTTTGTCTATTCTTCTTATTTTTAAAATCATCATTCAAAGTAAATAACAATAACTAACAGTACAATTGAATTATTGATAATAATTTTTGAACTTGTACATTTATCTTATTCATTTTTTTAATACTACGATTGTTAATAAATACTTTATGATAGATATTAGTAAAAAAAAAATATTTAATTAATTTGAAATATGTAGAATATTTATCAGATGAAAAGAAAATGTATAGAATAATATTTTATTAATATCCAAAATAACTAATAAGAATATCTCTGTAATTCTTCATTTATTACTGAAACATTGAAATAAAATAAGTGTTATTTTTTTAAAAATAGTTATTAAAAATGAATAATTCAAGAAAAAGCAATAAAAAAGTTAAGAACAATACTTCAAAATTATTTTATAAAGAGTAGAACTTATAATATACAAACATATTAATACATTAAAAATCGTATTAAATAAACGAATTAATGGTTTTTAATAACTTTGTTTTTATATTATAATTTTTAGTTTAATATCATAAACAAAATCTCTATTTAACTAACTATCTATCTATTTCTTTGAATAAATTTAATTTTACATTTTAGAAGTAGTGTCTAATCCAGATATAAAGTGAATATTAAAATATCAATAATAATTTGAAATATCAATTATTATGCTCTTGTTTATGAAAATATCTAAATATCTATTAATAATTAGATTTAATAAGATAATGGTTTTACATTACCAATTAACGACTTTCTTTAATCAATATCACAATACATTGCTATGGCTAAAATGAGAAATGAAAAATACTAACAAACTATGTTTTTCTATTGAAATCATTTTTTTTACTAAACCTTTTTTTTAATGAAATGATTTCTGTATTGAGTTATAACTTTAGTGTCAACATAACTTATTCAATGTATTTGGTTATGAAGACTCAATGAAATAGCTAAAAACGATTATTTTATATGACTGAATAAATGGAAAAGTAAAAATATGTAGATAAAACAATTCTGTATTCACAAATTCTTGCATTAGAAATAAATACCTTGGGTATATTCAAAATGTTATCTAATTTAATAATAAGCTAATTGTAAACACCAATAGAATAAATTAATTTAAATATCATCAATTTTAAATTTTTTGATTGTATCAAATAATTCATTGATTTACATAAACAATTATTTGTTAGTAAATAATGTAATCATATTATTCATACATAATATTCTGTTTAATATAAAACAATTATTGAAATATTAAAAATATATAAATTTGTTATTTAAAATACAGAAATATTGAGGTATTTTTTAGAAAAAAATATTATAAAAAGAAACTGAAAAAAAAAACAGTAATGTTCAAACCATTATTTGCACAAAAACCTATCACTAAAACAATTTCTATAGAACGGTATGAACAACGCATAGATGAAACGTTGCACAAATGCTTTAATATTCAATCTTTTAGACCTCAACAACGAGAAATAATATTATCAACACTACAACATAAAGACACAGTTGTCATTATGCCTACTGGTGGTGGCAAGTCATTGTGTTTCCAGTTACAACCAGTATTAACAGAAAGAATTACAATTGTAATTTCTCCATTGATAGCATTAATGCAAAACCAAGTTGATGGGTTAAATAAACGAGGGATTACTTCATTTATACTCAATTCTACACTATCAAAGTCAGAAGCCACGAAAGTATTATCACTTCTTAATTCATCTAATCCTGAATTGTATTTATTATATGTGACACCTGAACAAATTAAAACTCAACGTTTCCAAAATATTATGAAAAAACTTTATTCAATTAAAAAATTAGGGATGTTTGCTGTTGATGAAGCACATTGCATTTCACAGTGGGGACACGACTTTAGACCATCATATTTAGAACTATCATATTTAAAGAAAACATATCCAGATATCCCAATTATCGCATTAACAGCAACAGCTACACCAAAAGTCAAAGAAGATATAATTAAATCTCTTGAATTAAAAAATCCAAAGATATTTACTTCTTCTTTTGATAGACCCAATATCTATTTTAAAGTTATTTATAAAGATTTATATGAAACCCCAATTCAAATTCTAACTCAAATATTACATCAACACGAAAAAGAAGGTGGAATTATTTATTGTTCAACACGAATGGAGTGTGAACTAATTGAAAAATATATTAGCACTAATGGATATCCAGTTGCTAAATACCACGCTGGTATGAAATCAGAAGAGCGTGAAACTATTCAAAAAAAGTGGGAAAATGGTGAAGTGAATGTTGTAGTTGCTACAATTGCATTTGGAATGGGAATAGATAGAGGAGATGTTAGATTTGTTATTCATTGGAATATTCCTAAAACCATTGAAGGTTTTATGCAAGAAGCTGGAAGAGCAGGAAGAGATGGGAAACCAGCAGAGAGTATAATATTATTTAGTAATGATGATTTCGAACGAGAAGTTGCTCTTAACCAAGAAACTAGTGAAGTTATTAGAGAGTTATGTGTTGAATGTTCTTGTAGAAGAAAGTGTTTATTAAAGTATTTTGGAGAAACTTCATTTAAACCAAACAAAAGGTGTTGTGATCTGTGTAATGAAAACACAAGAGTGAAAGATGACCTTGAAAAATTAAGAATACGTTTAATAAAAAAGAATACAATTACTGTAAAACTCCCAACACCTAAACAGCCTCCTGGTGCTAGTCAATGTAGTGGATTCACATTAGCTTCAAAAATTTCTAATCAAAATTCATCATCTCAATTTACAACAGCATCTCAGATGCTTGAAGAACAAAAGAAAAAAGAAGATTTAAAACCTAAAAAGAATAAAACAAATGACTCACATTTAAAGAAGATTACAGACTTCTTTCAAGTAAAGAAATGATGAAATTCATGTACATCAAAGAAAAAAAAAAGAGATGAAGTGATTTTTTATTTATAATAATTTCATAGCATCTCATCAAAAAGAAAAATTACTAAATCAAAAAAATATTTTATTCAGGTTTTATTCAATAAATTATTCCATAAGAGAGTGTATTTCTTTTTTATCTTCAAGCATAAAAACAAATATTTTAGCTATTAATTTGTCACCTTAATTTAATAAAAAATATGAAAGTTTATTAAAGATACCATTCTTTAAGTATATTTAACTTCTTTTTTTTAGTTTTTTTAACTTCATCACCAAACAGAGAATAATGAATTTATTTCAAAAATTAAATTTCAGTTATTCGATGCAAGAATAATAAACTTATTGTTTAAACAAAAAAGGTTTTATTTGTTGAGCAGTAATTATTTAAATTAAACAAACATTTAATAACCATGAATTGACATGTCTATTCTATCAAATATTTTTACTAAGAAAAAATAATCTAAAAAGAAAAGATATTATTTATTATATTAATATATTGAATTAGCCAACCACTCTATTAGAATAAACGTTATAAATTTTATTTTTGTACAAACACTCTAAACAAAAAAAAGATAAGTATAAACAATTCAACTAAAATAAATTGGTTCAGTAGTGTTTAATGAAAAAGACTTTAATAAATACAATAACTCTTCATATAATCCATTGCTATTAAGAATGATGTCAACTTCTTTTTGTTCCTGTATTGAGGGCATTACATTATTTGGACAGAAAAGCGAAAAGTCATTAAGAAGTGAAATAAGTGTTTGGTCATCACTGTTCATTTTTCTGGGAATAGTTTTGGTTTAATTTTTTTTTCAATAGTTTCGTTGACGTTTATCATTTTTTTAAAGAATAATCTGACGTCACTACCTTTTCAATAAATTTAACTTCCCAGAAACAAAATCAATAATCTTTAAACTAAAACTATTCTTATTTCTTATAAAACGAATAGTCCCATTGTATTATCTTCACTTCCAGTAACAATTAATTTTTTGTCCCAATTAACTTCAGCACAAATAATACCATCTTGATGTCCACCCATTTCTTTAATACAATTTTTAGTTCTTAAATCCCACAATTTAATTCTTGAATCCATACCAAATGATGCTAGAACATATTGTCCTTGAAGTGGTGATATTTTGGTTACACTAAAATGATCTTCTGAATGTATAAATTCATGAACAATTTGTCCATTATCCATATCGTACATTCTAACTATACCATCTAAACTTCCACTGAATGCAAAGTTAGAATGTAATTTATTCATTCCAACAGATTCAACTGAAGTATCTTCATTATCTGATTTTAATGTAGCACAAATTTTTCCTAATTCTGAATTGAATAAATAACAATTACCATCTGCTGCTCCAATTATTCCAATTTTAGATGTTGGAATCATTTCTATTGAAGTAATTTCAACAGATTCATTTGGTTGACAAACACTCATCTTAATAGATTCTTGTGTTTTTGGTGACCATATTCTTATACTTCCATCTTGATATCCTGCAACAATCTGTTTACCATCAGGAGTAACTCTTCCTGTTGTAGTAGGTATTCCACTATTTAATGTTGTAATTAACTTACCATTATCACCATTCCATAACCAAATTGCACCATCTACTGATCCTGCAATAACAACATGTCCCATAGGATGAAATTGAACCCATTCAAATTCGTCATATCCATCTAAAGAATGTTTGATATTACCAGTTATATCAATGATACGAATTGTTGCATCATAACTAGCTACTGCAAGAAGAGTACTATCATGACTAAATGCTAATGAACTGATTGTATTTTCATATGTTTTTTTATATGACATATTGTGTTCAATTGAATAAACTGAGTATGAATTATCGCAAGATCCTCCAGCAATAAATTTTCCATCACTTGAAATTGCAACACAAATAACCCCATCATTAAAATCAATTTTAACTTTTCTTTGATCAACATCATTTCCATATTTTGTTGTAATAGTTTTGACTCTTCTACTAGATTCCTCCATCATTTCTTGTTCATCTAATTGTGCTAACTCTTCTTCATTAAGTTCTTTTGGTTCTTCACTCATATCGTTGTTTTCTTCTTCTCCATCTTTTTTATCTATAATAATTCCTTCTTGATTAATATCATCAATAATTTCTTCCTGACTATCTTCCTCATTTAACTCATCAAATTCTTCATCCATATTAATGTGATTGTTGTTGTTTTCCATATGAAAGCTTTTAATGAAACAAAAAGGGTTTTTATCATTTTATTGTTTTTCTTTTTTTTTGAAAAAAAAGTAAAAAAAGAACTTAGAAAAAAATAAATTAGATAGAAAAAGAATGTTAATCCTTTTCCTTCTTTGTATTTCATTTTCTTTTGCAGATGAAACAGATGGACCTGAAGTATATTTCAAGATTATTGGTAAAGCACCAAAATGTTTCAGTATTGATGAACCTGTTGGAACTCTTGTCCATGCTCATTATAAAATCACTACATTGAATGCAGGAAAATATGGTAAAATGCATGAAAATATTAACTTACATTATTCTCTTCATTTCCCACAAGAATTACAAAAAGAAGATGAAGACGCAGAAATTGATGATGATGGAGTTGTTATGTTCACAACAAAAGAAATAGGTGAATATCAAATTTGTTTCTATGTATCAAATGCACCACGATATGACATCGAATATAAATTTACATTGAATTTAGAAGTTGGAATTGAAGCTATTGATTATGAAAATCTTGCAAAAACAGAACAATTGAATTCTATTGAAGTCCAATTCACACAACAAATTGATTTAGTTAAAGCTCTTCAAGATGAAATTAAATTCCAACAAGAAAAACATGATGAATTTGAAGCTGTTACTGCCTCAACAATTTTTAGAGTTAAACTCTTTGCTTTTATTCAAATAGTCATCTTTGCTTTATTGGCATGGTGGCAATATAGAAATCTCAAAAGCTTTTTCAGACATATCAAAGTTGTCTAACTTGAATTATTATTTTCATTAATTTTATTAAACTCAATTCTTTTTATCTTTAATTCATCATTGAGGATCTTTAAAACTTTAATCAATGTTACATTTTTTCATCACTTTTATTTTATTTTTCTCTTTATCATCTGCTTATATTTGGGAATTTGATCCTAATAAACTTCAACGTCAACTAACGCAAAACAAAACTATCTTATTATTACATTACATCCCTTATGGAGAAACATATAAAAATTATAAAAGTACATTTAGTCAACTCGATGAAGCAGTGCAAAAACAAAAAAATAGAAATGTTATTGTTGGTCAAATAGATTGTGAAGAATATGAGGATTATTGTGAAAGTCATCAAATAACTTATTATCCTTCATTTACTATTCTACAACCAAATAACCAAACGATTTTTATTAATTCTCTTGAAACAAAAAAAATACAAGAAACATTACACACAATTGGTATTGAAATTGAAGATATTAAGCCAATCCATATAATTACTTTCACTACTGAGAACTCTACTGAAATAGCAAAAGAACCAACTCTTGTCAAATTCTTTGCTCCATGGTGTGGTCATTGTAATAGATTAAAACCAATTTGGGAAAATATTTCACGAGAATCTAAACTCAGAATTGGTGAAGTGAATTGTGATAAAGAATCTCGACTATGTTCTATTTATTCAATCTCACATTATCCAACAATTATCTATCTCACAAAAGATCAAAATAATAATGAAGTCAGAGAAGTCTATAAAGGAGAAAGAACATTTAAAGACTTGAAGACATTTATTGAACAGAAAACTAATTTAAAAAACAAGAACTTTAAGTGATTTATTATTTAATACAAAACAAAGAAGTTGAAAATAATAAATAACAAGAAGTAAAAGTTAATTTGGTTCCATTTCAATCTGTTGAGTATTTGAAGAATTAACATTAGCCAAATTATCTCCTTTTTGTTTTGGTTCAGGAACGGTTGATGGTTGAGGAGTTGAAACATTCTTTGGTTGATCTGGAGTATATTCATGATAACCTGCAGTAGGATCAGCTCGTTTTGCTTGCCTTTTGTTATTGATAAAATAACCAATATGATAAACAAATTCTTGAAGAATAATACAAATAATCACAAAGCCTATTGCAATATAGATTTGGACATAATTATCATTAAATCCTGTACATAGTAATCCACTTATTAAAGGTAATAATGCATTTCCTAAACCACCAACACATTCACTAATTCCAACAAACATTGATTTACTTGCTTCACTTGCTCTCATTGAATAATATGTTGATGTTTGATAAGCAAATCCACCAGCTAAACCACCCATAAAAGCTAAGAACCAATTAACATATGGTTGAGCAGAAAGACCTAGTGTAATCAAAAACATTAAATAAAAGAATTGGAATAATAAGAATAAACTCCTTAAATAAACCCAGAAGGTAGAAAAAGACATTACTGACATAACAAGTGTTTGAGCTATAAAATAACAGAAAAAGAGAATTCCAATATACATTTCAACAGGACTTTGTCCAAATGGAATAGTAATATCTTTATCTTTAGCTAAAGTTACATATGAATTAGAAAGAATTGCAGAAGTACCATAAACACCAAGTTGCATAATATAACCAAGATAAATATAAGTTTTATTCTTTAAATCAAGAGAATTCCATTTAATTCTTAATTTCTTAAAATCACTTATTTTTTCTTGAGGTTGTTGTGTATCTTTATGTTGTTCTTTTATTTCTTCAACAGATTTTCCTGCATTAATTTGATTTAACATTTCAGTAGGAATTTCTACGTCATCAGCCTCATGTTCATTTTGAGGAACCATTGTAACTTCAACATGAACATCTTTAGGTTCTTTTTCTTCTTTTTTGTTTTTACTTTTTAATGCATTTAACTTATCACGAATTCTTTTTGGATAACGATATGGATAAAGAATCATATTAACTACCACAATACCAATACAAATATACAAGGCATTAGTCCCTAATGCCCCTTTTAACATTCCACCAAATAAAAATCCTAGGGCTTTACCAATTGACCATGAAACCTGATATAGTGAAGTGTTTCTATTTTCACAACCTATTGGAGCTTCAAATCCTACTGTTCCTGTAGTTACTGGCCAATAAAAAGCTGTACAAAAAGGCCAAATTGCTACAGAAATATAAAGAACAAAAAACTTCTCTGGGAAAATTAAAATAAGAGTAACCGCAACAACAAAGAAACACATTGCTATTCTAATGACTATAAAAGGATTAAATTTGTCTCCTATTTTACCACAAAAAGGAGATAGAATTGAATAAATAACAAAAGCAACTACTTGTAATAATGATAGGTCTAATGTTGATCCTCCCATATCAACACATTTTAATGGGACAACAAGCCAATAAAAGTATGAAGCAAAATTAAACAAGAAACCAGTGACACAAGACCTTGGAAAATTAGAAAATATTAATGAAATATACTTTATTACAACGTTCATTGAAACAAAAGGTGTTTTCTTTTTATTAGATTCATTGCTAACGGCGATGACAAGCCGAGTTAAAAAAGAGAAAGTTGAGCGATATAGATAGATATACTCTTTTCTTTTATTAAAACTCTCTCCTTAGAAGGGGATAGAATTAAAAATTTCTTTGAACAAACTAAAAGATTAATATTTCCTTATCCTTTCATTTATCCATTCATATAAAAATGACGTGGTTACTTTATTTATTTTATGCCAAGTATGAAAAAGGAAGTCAATGAAAATAAAATTGAAACAACAAGAAAAGAAGTCTTTTAAATTCTTTTTGCTTCTACATGTTCTTTACTCCTTTAATTCGTGTCTTTAATTTCTAAGAATATGAACCAAAATTTTGAATAAAAAATAATTTAAATATATGAATAAAATCAAATATTAAATGAAAAGAAGATAATTAAATGTTAATAGTTTTATTTTCTATTGTTCTTTGCTCAGGGAAGACTTATCCCATTGCTTTAAGACAGACCACCCAACAACTATTAGTATATTCTTTAGCTTTTAGTTGTTGAAATGTGAGAAATTCCTTTCCTCTTTTTTTTTATTGTAGAATAAAGTATTCTAGATATCCTCAACTTAAATAATCCTCATTTACGTTTTTGTCTTATTTTTAATGTTATTAAAACTCCTCTTCTTTACTTTGTTTTTTAAGAAGAATGTATCACTACTATTATATTATTATGACTAATTTTCATTTCAGCCTCAACCACAACAAGAGACCCTTTTTCTTTGATAATATGTAAATTATCAAATATGCTTGTATTCTAACAAGCATATAATATCACTATCTTTATAAATATCCATTCTTTTATTATAGTAAATGATATTCTATCATTATAAATAATAATCAGTGCCATTCTTGCAATATTGAGTGTAAGATGTTTTTCTAACCAAAAGCAAAGCTATAATCAGACAATAACTCGTGATTCAAAGTTTGGATTTATTTTAGGGTTCTGTGTGGTGTCTCTGACTTATCATCTTAGAATCCAAATTGAAGGAGAAAGAAAAAACAATAAAAAATATACAAAAACGAGAAATGAAGATTTGAAAGAATAAAACAAAGTTACATTAATAGTTATTAAAGAAAGTTAACATAGCAAAATCTATTTTAGAAGAGGACAATTTAAGTAGCAAAGATTAATTCAATATATATAACTTACAAAAAAAAAAACAAAAATACCATAAAATAAACTTATTTTCAGTGAACCCTTCCTAATGAACCAAGATATACAACTTAAAATTCCTACATTTGAGGAGGTGTTCTTATCATTAGAACCAGATATATTATCAGGAGTACTTAAACATTTTTGTAGTAGAGACTTAAGTGAAGAAGAAATTGATGGAAATATGAAAGCAATTTTTTATTTCTTTGTTGTTAATGGTAAGGTATTAGAATTAATGGAATGGGTAGCGATTAAAGAAATTGCAGAAATTCACAACCCAAATTTAATGTTTCAAAGAAATTCTATTTACAATAAAATAATTCGTCTTTATATGGATTATGATGTAAGAGATATTTTTCAAGATAGTATTGAAAAGTTATTAGACCAAGTAACAAAGAAAAATATTCAATTAAATCTTTTAGATTCATCAGTCAAGTATTCTCAAAGTGATTTAAAGAAAGTCCAAGAAATTTTAGAATCTTTTTTTACAAAGATATTTGATTTAAAATTACCTGAGTTTGTTTATTTTATTATTTGTTTTAATAAATTTATTCATATTTTGTAGTTCTTTTAAATATTTTATGACAACTATTGGTTCTCATATTACTGAAAGTTATCCAACAGCAACTGTTAATGTACTTATAAATATTATTTTTAATAGATATATTGGTTCTACTATTGCTACTTCAAAACCAACTAAAAATAGTGATAGAATTATTCCAACATTAAAATCTATTTCATTAATTATGAAATGGATGTTATCTAATGAATTGAAAGAAGATAGTTCATGGCAAGTGTCAATGAAAAATTTTGCTGAAATAATTAAAACTAATGTAGTTAGTTGGATTACAAATAATGTTATTCAAACATTTATTGACAAAAAACCTAAGGTAAAATGGGAAGTTGCTGTTAGAATAACTAAAGATATTAAAAATATGGTTTTTAAAGATTCAGAACAAATATGTGCATTGTTACCAGAAACAACTTCAAGACTATTAAGAATTTTAAAGGATGAATATATAAGTTCTACAACATCAATTATGGATTTATTTATGAAATTACAACGAACAATTATTGAACAACAAAGTGATATTTTTTCATTATACTCAGAAATTGCTGTATTAAACCAATACAACAAAGAACTTACTGAAAGAATTCGATATTTTGAATTACGTAAAAGAACTGATAATGACGAATATATTTCATTTGATAAAGACATTATAGAATCAACAACCCCAATGCTTAGACTAAATGAAGTACAAAAACAACCAGAAAATATTACATCAATTAATACTGCAAATAAACAAAAACTTGATGCCTATTTTGCAAAAAAACGTGAACAAGAAAAAAACCAATTAAAATTGAAATCAGACTATAAGAATTCTGTTATGGAAACAAAATATATTTCTATTAATAGCCCCTCTTTGTTACAAAGAAAAGGAACTAAACAACCACAATATATCTCTACTCCATTTACTAGTCCTAGCTTACCTCTACCTGATTCTAAAACAGCAATACCAAACCATCCAAGTTTGGCAGGTAGTAAAATAAGTGAAGATGGATTGGGTGTGTCATTATTTTCTGATCCTTCCAAATGACTTTTGTTATTGTATCAAATTACTAAATTTTAATTCATTTCTTTAACATCAAATAAATCAAATAATAATATTTTTGTAAACACTTTTCTCCTAAATGTATCGTTATTTCGTTATCAAAGAGTTACTATTTTAATTTATAATTTTTCTTTTCCCTTTTTTTCTTGTCATTTTAAAATGTTGCTTTCTCTTTAATTAACCCCTCAGAACATTCTTGGAATATTTTTTAATTGGATACTTCAAAAAACAATTTTTATAATCGTAACTATGAATATAAGTACAAGGCTAAATGTTGATACAATAATACCACTTATATAAATAATACAGGGCTAATAAAATTATACCTCTGAACTCAATTAATAATATACAAACATTACGACAATAACAATACAGAGTATAAAATAAGTTAACATGATTGAAATCATAATAAGTGTATTGAATACAATAACATCATTATAAATTTTTAATTCAGTATAAAGATAGTATAAGTATTAATAAAATAGGCAAAACTAGTGGATGTATCGAATTTAATATGATAAAGTTGATTTATTGGATGTACAAATATTAAAAAATAACTATAAAATAATGAATAAAATGAGTAATAAAATTAGAAATATTAAATAAATAATAAAGTAAATAAATGAATAATTATTAAATAAAATATTTAATTTATTGTTTCTTTCATTTTATTAATTATTGTTGAGTTTCTATATATATATTTCATTCTTATATTTTTAGTATTATTTTATTTATTATTGATACTTAATTAAAATAAAATTAATTTGAGTGTGACTGAATAATAATAAAAATAAATAAAACAAGAAAGAAATATGAACATTTTTATATTCATTATTTCATTTATTGATAGATGAAATGTTCATATTTATTTATTGATTTGATTTTATATTCTTTTTTAGTTTTTATATTTCAAATAAAAAATAATGAATAAAAATCATTTCATTTCAATTACAATAATTCGTTGTGGTGTGAAATATTCTGGAAGTTCTTTTCCACAAAGTGCATTTATTATTTCTCCATATTCAAATGAATGTTGTTTACAGTAACAATACGTTTTATTATTTTCTTTATAAACAAAAATGTCATGTCCATTATATCCATCATAGCCAAATTCAAACAACCAGTCACTTGATTGATTAAATAAACAAAATCCATACTGTGGTTCTTTGATATCAAATTTCATCATTCCTTGTATTATTCCTTTTGACTCTAATGAAAATAAAAATGAATTTGAATCATTTATATAATTATTAATTTTATCAATTTTCTCATTAACATATCCTCCAAATATATTTCCATTTTCGTCTTCAATAATAATTATGATATGTTCTTTATTTATTATTCTTTGATCAAATACTGTTGTGTAACATTTCCAATCATCAATATCTGAATCAAATAATATATTAGATACTTTTCTATTTGTCCATTCTTCTATTTGTTTCATTTCTTCCATTTTGATTATTCCTTTCATTCTTCCTAATCTCCCTTCCTCTTGTTTATTTTTTGCCAAACTCTCTCCTTCTTTTCTCTTCTTCCTCTCTAAACAATTACTA